TTTTTCTAAGCTCTATAGTAAACATTAAATCTGTTACGAAAAAAGAACTAAAGAAAATAAACACAATACGATCAGCTTTAAAAAACCGGAAAAAACATTTTTAAGGGTTGACCGATTGTCGATTTGCACTCTGTTGGGGGGGGGGGCTCAGAGTTGAAACTTCACATGATGACTCCCAATGGCCTCTTCATAAATCCGCTCGGTTGTCGCTAAAAATCGACATGCGGTTCAGACCCAATCTGGGCGTATCGGTTTTGGGGTTTTATCGATTTTCCGCGCTGTTTAGGGGCCCGTGGTCATGAAACTTCTGGACAACACTTCTAATGGTAGACTCTAAGAGGGTGTCAAATTTGGTTGAAATGAGATCATTCCTTCTGTAAGCAGGATTTTTTCGATTTTTTCGGAACCTGATTCCGAACTCAAAAATCGGGCAGCCATTTGCAAACTTGTGTTGAAAACCGCATCGAAATCGGGTGAGAAATGCGGCCTGGACGAGGTAACAACGCCCACGACAGACACACAGACAGACAACATGAGAAATATAGATAGTAGATTACCAACAATAGATATTTATAATAAAATTAGCAACAATAATTTTCATTTGTAGTTGAAGACATACATTTATGCTCAAAATATTTCGGCATGGAAGTGTTGAAAAGCAAACACAACCAAAAAACAAAGGTTCCTTATTCTAAAATCTACCCATTCTCTTTCATTCCCAGGTCCATGTTCCTTCTAAAGTCTACTTCAACTCTAGAATTCCAACGTCTCTGCCTAAAGTCTGACATTTTATTTACTGTTTATTTTTGTTTATATTTTGTTAGGGTCCCAGCTACGTGAAAATATTGTGGCACCAAAACAAAAACTAAACACTATAAAAGTATAAAAATACATTTTCCTTGTAAAAATACCAACGGTATCTATTCATCGTAAAATTAAGAACAAGACATTTTATGGTAGAATTACCAGCAATACATTTTATAGTCGAACTAGCAGCATGGCTCGACGTTGCCCGTGCTTGATTAAAAAATCATACGACTCATACAGCAATCGCTATCACTTGACTTAAAATATTTTTGCCCTTCCTTGCCTTTAAAGGAGTGCCCTTTGCCGTGCTGATGTTGCTACATGCCTTACTTCTTGTCTATCTCACACTGCGAATTTTTTCTAAGCTCTATACTAAACATTAAATCTGTTACTAAAAAAGAACTAAACAAAATGAACACAAAACGATCAGCTTTAAAAAAGGACTTGTAACTGGAAAAACCGAATGAAAAAAGAATTTTAACAACAAATACTTTTTCACACCCAACCCAGTTCTGCGGAATCAGAATCAACGTTGAGTTTAAGCAAGTGAATGAGCCAATTGGAGTAAAGTGCCATGCGGATTTAAATTTTTCAAACTTGTGACGAATGCAGCTATCGATTTTACATTCGTTAACATTCGTGTCAGTCAGCTGTTGGCTCTCACGCTGGCCAATAGAATCTTCCTGCCTATTCGTTGCAGCCAGCTATAGGCTCTCAATTCTGGTCAGTACAAAATGGCCGCAAACTACATGAAAAGTGCCGTAGAAGCATGAAAAATCGATTATTTCCACTATCGATGGGAGTTGGGAAATGCAAAGTCGATGTTGGCCTTTCCCACTAACTTAGAGCATGTGCATGTAAATTTTGGTGCAAATCCGTCGAAAATTGCGGCCGTGCATTCGTTACACACACACACATACCACATCTTGCCTTTTATAGATAGAGATTACCAACAATACATTTTATAGCAAAATGACCAACAATACAATTTATCTTTAGGAGAAGGCTTAAAATTGTGTTCAAAATATATTTATATTAAGCCATAAAAATTCTCTTCAAAATTTTTAGATTTCGATATTAAATAACTCATTTCTATGTCGCTAAACAAAATCAACCAATCTAAACAAACGATAGGTTTTAAGGCATTTTATATTTGTTACAGTTGCAGCTGACCACGTTCCCCTTTTGAGCAAATTTTCTGCGCAGAATTAGGATGCAAGATAATATGATATTTAGATTCTGTCGGTCATCTTTTCTAACGAATCAGAAAATAAATAAATTCTTCTAACCAATCCGAAAATAAATAAATTATGATAGAAATGCTACATTTTTTGTCTTCACCTGGTTTCTGGAAAAATACGCCATAGCAGAAAGTGTTTCGTCCAATCAGCAAGCGGCTCATCAAAAATACTCCGGGGGCTGATTTGGGCTGATAAAATCAGGATTCCAGTTCATTTGTTATAGTTTCAGCTTAGATTAACCTACAAGTACGAAGGGTTTGCTGAAAAGTTGTCAGTCCGACCAAGATGCTCTTCGTAACATTAACAAATCTAACGTTTGTTCTTTCGGGTAGATCTTTGGATGTGGGTCGGCCCGTTAATTTCTCGGTTCACCACGGCGTTTCTAAATTTACACGAAAATGAATATTAGAACAGCAAGTGGTTTGCGACGTAGTTCGTCTGGAGCCGGCCCACTGAAATAGCGAGAGGTTTACCTTGTTTCCTATGTGGGTAAGGTGGTTATATAGGTTGGAAAATAACTCATCATCGAATAAAGGACGATGTCTTGTTGCGTTGTGTGCCGTTTCTGGATAGTGCTTTGGCGATCTGCAATTACTCAGGACCCCAACGCTGCATCAACAGATAGAATTAATGACGATTTTTACTCACAGTTTTCTTTTTTTTTTTTTTTATTTTTATTTTTATCCCGCTTCATATGTGGGTGAGGTACATAGTAATCTTCGTTTTTTTTTTTTTGGCGGAAACGCAGAACAGATCGTGAGAGAGGGAAAACAAATATGATTATGTTAGCCAGTTACTCTTTTCTTTGTACATGACATAGTCACTTCTTTGAGTGTTCATCATACAGTTATCCTTATTTTAGTCTCCCTGTTCAAACAACGAATATACAAAATAATCTGGGAGAAGAACGAAACAACGAATATCCGGGTTATTGATTTCTCTACTTCAGCGTTGTTTTCCAGCGATTCTTTTTCAATGCAACTAATGTTTTATTTAGTCTTACGAAGAATTATTTCTACTTTGGCTAAGGCAGAAATTTTTTTTTTATTTTTTATTTTCATTGCTTGAATTATTTTTACTTTTTTTTTAAGCATTTCACCCCATCAAGTCGAGGTGCTACTATCACGCACGGGGTTACAGAGAATGGGAGCAAGAGTAAAGAGGCGTGATAGGGGAAAGGATGAAGAGAAAGACGGGGAATAGACCAAGGCATCTGGAGATGTCGCTTGACATTGCATTTGAATAGATGAAGATTATAGCAAGTAAGAGGAAGGGAATTCCACAGGCGAGAGGTGCGAGACATGAAGCTATTGGAGTAGAAGAGACGGCCACATTTAACCGTTTCGACAGTGAAAGGATGAGAGCGAGATGCCAACCTGATAGTGGTGAAGATTTCGTTCAGGACCAGCTACACTTTTTGAAGGGCCGAATACAGAGACCTGGTGCGCTACAAGTTCCCCAAACGACCCTCCGCAGGTTTTGAATTCGGAGTTGTCCTTCTCCTAGACCAGTTGCTATCCAAGGCTATAGAACCCAGTCTGTCCTGCTACTTACCCATAGCTGCAGGGAGAACAAGAGGATTCACACTTTTCCCAAGGGTATTAGCACGTAAGTGAATGTAATGGATTCGACTGGAATTCGAACTCGGCTCTGCGATTCCTCAATCCAAGTCCCAATCCATTCAGAGTCTGTCTATATTTCTGAGATGAGGTATTATGTACATTATTTACATTATTCGGACTATTGCCCTCATCTTTGTCGCCATATTTATTACAATGTTTCGGCCCTTCAGTATCTGTCTATATTTCTGAGATGAGGTATTATGTACATTATTTACATTATTCGGACTATTTTCCTCATCTTTGTCGCCATATTTATTACAACGTTTCGGTTAAAGGCGTTGGTTAGATCCAGTGACAGACCTAAAGAAACTGAGTTCAATTCCTGGTTAAGGCAGTGGTGAACTTTCAGAGGGAAAATTAGCAGGAGATAACTGATAACTGAGATCCATCAAACATGTCACGTGGAACTAGAACAGTCTACCCCAGTGATCGAAATAAAGGGTTCATTTCGAAATTCCAACCACCTGAAGAAGGCCGGAGAGTACAACGGCCGAAACGTTGTGACAAATATGGCGACAAAGATGAGGACAATAGTCTGACTAATGTAAATACTGCCCCTATCCATTACTCCACCGTGCCTCCCAAGTGAAAGGGTGGGACTGTGATGCCAACCTAATAACACGTTAAATTCATGCAAAGAAGCTCGTCGGAGAGGTTACCGTGAAAGTATTTGTGGAAAAGAAGCGACGGAAAGTCCGTGAGATAATGACTGTAGACGAGATGCCAAATCAGGACCATTCACATTGCATATCCATCTCTGGATTTTGTCGAGGACCTTAAGACGAACAGCGGGAGTCTACAAACCATATATGGCATCAATATAGCATGCAAAGGCGAATGGTTGATTTATAGACTAGAAGAATGGACTCAGGCGCGAAAAACCTTCTGGCGCGACACAGAAAACCAACTTTCCTTGCAGTAGATGAAGCTATTGATTCAATGTATTTGTTCCATCTTGTTTAACTCCCATCTATGAGAGTAGACATTTCTCATGTATAAAGAAACAGAAAAATTATTCTCTTTACCTTTTGAACACACCCTTCTTTATAACTTTCAGAATCCTTCTTCTTCTACGATAGGCCGTGTTCTTTTCTAGACACGGGTGATCATGGCTCTCTACTACTTCCTATCCTTTGTAGCTCTTAACAACGTCTGTTTTCTTTCTATCCCTTCCATTTCCTGTTTTACTATTCCTCTCCACAAGCAGGTTAGCTAAGTTACACACTGTATCTTTCTTTCCGACCTAACTTCAATATGGCTTGTGTGCGTCAAATTTTCCAAGCCTTCTGTTCTCATTATGTGAGCTTACGTTCAGCTGAAACACTAGTATATGGAAACACCTGTTCCCATACGATCACCGACGTTTAGCAACGTCGAGACTGGTCAGTACTTACATGGGCGACCGCTTGAGAATACCAAAGCGTTGTAAGCTTGGATGTGCGGGTGGTGTAAGGGATAATGGCTCGGAACTGTTAATCGTCGAGCCGAGTTCCAATTCCAGTTGGGTTCATTATATTCCCCTGTGCGCATAAACAGTTAAATATGAATCCACCTGTTCTCCCCCCCCCATCTATGGGTTAATTAGTAAGAGTTGTATCATTAAATTATTGTTATCTCAAAATGAAAATTCTTACAACATAAAAAATATTTTCTGGCTTTAAATAACCTGCAAAAGTTGATGAACCATAAGAAAAACGAATCAATCAATAAATCTCCATTATGTTTTGCGGACGATGTCAGCTTGATTGTAAGTATATCTCCTTTTTTGGTTCCGTTCTCCTGAAAACTTCCTCTTTGCTCACATGCTCTGTTCATGGCATTCTGTGGCGTCAAATTGCTTCAACTGAGAGAACATTTTCCTGTCTTCATTATAGTATACTTGGTCTATTTGAAGAGTAAGGAAACTGGTCTCACGAACAACTTTTTTGAATTCCAAACTACATGATTTCCCCTTCAAAGTAATCATCCTCAAGTCTAATGCACTTTTCCATTCTCCTCTGCCACGTTTCTATGCACTGCGGGAAGGATTCATTTTGGAGGCCCCTCAGGTCCGTCGTTACGGCCTCTTGACGCCCTATGCGCCTTCAAAACGGGGTCGCCTTGATGATCCCTTTGAGCTTGGGGAAAAGTGAAAATTGTCAGGGAGCAAGATCAGTTGAATAGGGAGGTTGTTCCAATACGGCGATGTTCTTCCCGGCCAGGAACTACCGGATGTTCAGGGCGTTGTAAGTAGGTGCACTGTCGTGCTGAAGCAGCCACGATTTGTCCTTTCTCAAATGCATGTGAAAAAAATGCAATGGTTGCATTATGGAACAAATACATTAAGTCAATTGCTTCGCCCACCGCAAGGAAAGTTGGCTCTCTGTGCCGCGCCAGGACATTTTTCTCCCCGGAATCGTTCCTTCAAATCTACAAATCAACAATTCGCCCTTGCATGGAGTATTGCTGGAGACCCTGCTGTTTGTCCATTCTTGATATCCAGGTATGCAATATAATTGACCCTGATCTAGCATCTCATCTGCAGTCGCTCTCTCACAGACGTGCTGTCGCCTCTGTTTTTTTTACAACACTTTCACGTCTCAAGGTTTCTTGATAAGATCCTACAAAAGACTGTTGCTTTCCCAGAGGCGGATATGCAATACTGTTGAAACTATTAAATGTAGCCGTCTCTTCTACTCCAATAGCTACATGTCTCACCTCTCGCCTGTGGAACTCCCTTCCCTATTCCTGTTTCTCTGATAGCTATAATCTCCAACTATTCAAAAGTAATGTCAATCGACATCTCCAGTTGCCTTGATCTATCCGCTATCCTTCTCCTCTTCCTTTCCGCTATCATTCCTATCTGCCCTCGCTCCAAATCCTCTGCAACCCCTTACGTGCTAGTGGCTTCTCGTCTTGCTCGGGGTGAAATGCAGTTATATACTCCCAAGCTATCCTGTTAGATAATAACAGAATCCGCTTATCCCTCTGTTATATTCCGTACTGAGGGAATAAATACTTAACACCAGGTGGATACTAGAAGAAAGGTTTATTGTACACAACCAGTACAATGTGAAATACGGTACAGTTGTAGACACAGGTCAATCTAGTAGTGAGTACCACTAACGGAAAGGTCGGACGTGATTGCGTCGTCTCGCTCGTCCTCCTGGGTCTCTCGTAGACGGTGGACTTTATAGGTACTACCTATAGTGTAATCATTCATGGGGGTGACTGGTTTTTCTATTACATCACCCTCTTTCGATCATAGCTCACACAAGCACGCCATTACTTTTCAGATAGACCTTGTATATTACATGGCAGTTCGCCACTTTTTTCGTCGTTCAGTTCGTCATTTGACATAATTTTCCCTTTCCTTAATGCTTGGCTTAGCTTTTGAAAGACGCAATTCGCTTTGCTAATGCGACTTCGGATTTCGGTGTCACAGTTTCCAAGATATTTAAATTTCTGTACTTCCCTGGTTCGTAGCTCGCATCTCAGTCTATTTCTCTCGCTAACAACCATACATTCTTGCCTTCTTATAATTAATAGTTATTGATTTTTTTCCCGGCTTCTCTTGCAGTTTCATATCTGTGTATGACATCATGTTAAGATTGTGTCCACCAATAATAAATTCCGCGAGGAGATCTAATTCTCTTGAGTAATTATTTTAAAGCAATTAACCGATTCTTTTTTAATCTGGCGTTATTTCTTATTACTGTAAGTGGTGTATGTAGTTGACGCCATTTTTTTTTTAAACCGTGAAATTCAGGCCAACTGGGCCAGGGATCGAACAACCAGGAATCGAACCTGTAGCCTCCTTTTTTTCATCTAGGAAACCACTCTAATCCAAATGTGTCTTACCAATTAGAGAAACAATACCGTTAATGAAAGTTCAGCTTCAACTAACCCCGAGCAAGGTGATAAAGTCACTAAGACGCAAAACCCCTGTTAGAGGAAAAAATGAAAAGACTTTAGTTCATGAGCCGTTCTAAGCTTCGTATAGGTGCGTTAATTTCGGGAGAAAATAAACACAAAAACCGCCCAACATTTGGATATTTTTTATTATGATGTTTCTTGATCTAAGCTTACATTCACATGAGCCATTATCATAGTGGTTACATGGATATTACAACAGAGATGTTTACCATCAAAGATAACATCCTGTTATGTTTACATAAAAGTTTGCTATGCGTCGATAAAAGTTTCGGAATAGGTTGTAATTTTCATGATGCAGTTCTGTGACTTCGTGACCGAAATATTAACAACATGATCATATCTTTAGATACAACTAGCAGTAGAGCCCGGCTTTGCCCGGGGATGTAACAGTAAGAGATAGATCAAGTATCGACCATCATAAAGACTGAAAAATAAAATTGACAAAGATTATTGTTTAAGGTTGACGGACACGCATGTCTTAATTAGTTTTTTTTGTTTTGTTTTGTTTCTTTTTTTTTACGAATTGTTCAAACCCAAACTCAAACAAAAACATTGTTTTCAATCGTTATGAGTCTACCGATTGAATAGAATTTTATTATAAACAATTGTCTTGTAAATGGAATTTTTAAAGCATTCTGAATGTAAAAATAAAGGAAAAAGTGTGCAAGACAATAAGAAACACTACCTGCCAAAAAAAGTGAAGTTTTGTTGAAATCGGTTGAAAAATGTAGGAAATCCGATCCCATATATAAACGAAGACGCACACACACACACACACACACACACACACGCACACACACAAGGACACACACACACACAAGGACACACACACAAAAAAACCCTGGGTTTTATGATAAGTATAACTCGATATGAGTTGTCCCCCTTTCATTTTCGATGCCTCTTAATCGTGTTTTCAAATTGATTTCGTGCAAAACCAATTGTGTTTTTCCAATTTTTGGCGCTGTCAGAACCACCGCAAGGTAATTTTACGTAGTCCTGTGAAGTTTTGTTGAAATCGGTTGAAAAATGTAGGAAATCCGATCCAATATATAAACGAACAGACACACACACACACAACCTGGGTTTTATAATAAGTATGATGTAATGTGTTGCGACCAGTTTGAAACAGAACGTCTCATGATCAAACATAACGGACATTCGTTGTCTGTTATATTTAACAATAAATGTTTGAATATTGTGAACTCTCCCGTCGTATTCGATTCAAGCAGCTCAGTTCTTAAGAGCCGACAGCCAGACACCAGCACATATGATTTGATTATTGTTTTGAAGTGTTTCTGGAGAAGCAACGACACTTTTTGATGGGCCGAATACAGAGACCTGGTGCACTACGTGCCACAAGGTCCCCAAACGACACACGGCAGGTATTTGAATTCAGAGTGGTCCTTCTCCTAGACCAGTCGCCATTCTAGGCTATAGAACACAGCTTGTCAATGCTATTTACCCATAGCTGGTGGAAGAAGAAGAGGATTAATACCTTTCTCAAGGCTATTAGCCCGTAAGTGAATGTAATGGATTCGACTGGAATTCGAACTCGGCTCTCCGATTCCTCAATCCGAGCTGCTATATATCGTTTACTTTTTTAATCGTTTCAGCCCAAAACAAGGCGGTAGTGTCGCTAGTACGCAGAGGGCTACAGCGAGAGAATGTGAAAGAGAATGAGAAGACTGGGGATGGGGAGGATTGAGGAGAGGGCAAAAAAAGGAGCAGGTTTTAGGAAGACAGAAAATGGCGATTGACGTTGCATTTAAATTTTGGAAGATTTTAGCTGTCAGGGAAACGGGAAATCGGAAAAGTTTTTCCCAAAGATGTAGGTGCGAGAATTAGTCTGAGAGTAGAAAATACGGTTGCATTTAGGTTGTTCAACAGTAAAACGGTGGGACCTAATTGCCAATCTAGTATCACGCTTAAAGTCAGGGCACAATGGAAAAAAAAAACGCTCATCAAAGCAGTTGCCATGAAAACATTTGTAAAAAAGTCAGAGCGAAACCACGTCTTTGGATTTTGTCTCGTGTGATATATATATATATATATATATATATATATATATATATATATATTTAAAAGAAAAACAGACCACTTTAAGGTACCATTATAATAATTTATTTCACCAGATCCCTTTTAAAGTACGCCGGATCATCAGATAGCTCGTCCAAAAATGAAATCAAAATTGATGTGTAATGTAAGTTTTTGTAATTTGTGTAAGAGGGATAGTTAAAGAGACATTGTAGAGTATAGGGAGGGATTAGTTTCATATCTCTCTCAAGTATACTTTATATTGTGGGAGGAGGAGTGACCAGACCTTGACCTATTTAGATGGTTAACTTAACGGAAGTGATATATAGAAATGGGAGGGGAATAGGGAGAAAAGAAAAAGGAAAAAGAAAGAAGAGGGAGAGGGAAGTAAAGAGAAAGAGGCTGTAATTGGGTTTTAGCAATTTATGTAAAGAATAGATTTTAATGCTTGATAGAAATTTAGATTTTTAAAAAAAAAATG